TTTAACGTTACCAATGAACTTTTTTAACGTTGCTAAGGAATTTTTTTAACGTTGCTAAGGAATTTTTTTAACGTTGCTAAGGAATTTTTTTGCCGTTGCCAAAGAATTTTTTATGTTGCTAAGGAATAATTTTAACGTTTCTAAGCAATTTTGTAAACGTTGCTAAGGTATTTGGTTAACGCTGCTCATAACCGAAATCATAACCGAAATCATAACCGAAATCATAACCGTAATCATAACCGAAATCATAACCGAAATCATAACCGAATCATAACCGTAATCATAACCGAATCATAACCGTAATCATAACCGAAATCATAACCGAAATCATAACCGAATCATAACCGAAATCATAACCGAAATCATAACCTAAATCATAACCGAAATCATAACCGAATCATAACCGTAATCATAACCGAATCATAACCGAAATCATAACCGAAATCATAACCGAAATCATAACCGAAATCATAACCGAATCATAACCGAAATCATAACCGAAATCATAACCGTAATCATAACCGTAATCATATCCGTGCTGTGATTGGTTGAGCCAGAAAGCCGGCAGCCAATCAGAACGTAGGAATGTCACGGAAAATTTGACGGAACGGACTTTTCGAAATTATAATATAGATTTTTGGGAAAGATGAGAATTTTGGGGTCAGGTGAGATTTTTGGGGTAAGGTGAGATTTCTCGGGTAAGTCGAAATTTTTGAGGTACTTTGAAAATTTTGGACAGCTGGATGGCTAGGGGGTGTGCCGGACGGCTGGATGGCTGGACGGCTGGACGGCTAGGGGTGGTCGGCTGGACGGCTAGGTGACACATCATGCCTTGGACTGGAGATATATGCAACAATTCAGCAACCAATGAGTCTAAGAGTACTAACTCACCTTTGGAAATATTGCTTACTAACAAAATTCGGACTATTTCGTTCAGAAGCAGAAAGAGAGACCACTCTTTGTAACATGGGTCCAAGAAGTCTCCAAAAATCGAAGGAAGGAAAAGGACCTTGCACATGTTCTGTGACGCCTTTTGTCCAGATTGTGTTCATGAAGGACGGTTTAATTTGTGAAGGTCGACTGAAGGTGAAGGTTTTATTGTAGGGTAATGTCGCCCGAAATTAAACGATTCTATTCTATAATTCAAGGTGTCAATAGTCATCTTCTTAGAAGAAATTCGATAGTTAATTACAGCATGAAATAAATCTATCACTTAGAATTCCCCTAATCAGATAGTTCCAAATTAGTGTATGAATTGGAACAAAATCAGAATGTTTCTTTCGAACTTCTGTATTTTAAAATACGAAGTTGTTCACTATCCCGTCAGAAAAAGTCCAGAAACTGTTTGCCTTACACAAAAGTCTTGAACAACCAGTGGAGTCAATGCTTCCACAAAATTATTTCCAAACTCCAATCTTAACGATGTCAGCGATTTTTGCATCCTCATCTCCAACCTTGTCCTGCCTAGCGTCTTACATTCCAAAATCCACTTCGTGCTCACATTGTTTATTTGGGCGGTCGCCGAAAAAAGGAATATCGAAAAGGTCAAGATAGTTAGATACGTTTGGACGAATAAAAACGCCACAAATTTGCTGATCTGTTCCGAATGAACTGCTTGCATTGCCGTGTAGCACAGCAAAATTTGCACACCTGGCATTACCAGGGCCATGATGAGAAATAGGCGCCCTTTTGTGCAATAATTTAGTAGTTTCTCGTATACTTTTAATTTCTTGTAGGCTATGATACCTATTAAAAAATTGTTATCAGAAAGCATGCGCTACTAAAGCATAGTACTCAGCACGGTTTTTTCAAGCTAATCGGAAGTTTCGCGATTATTTCAAATCTCAGGGCGCTATTACTCTCAGGTACGACATTAAGTAGACCCATCCTATACAGATATATGGAGAACCTTCCAATTGACGCACTTACTGGGATGACTATGTTTAGCCCAAATATTGTTATACTAACAGCCTTTCTAGCCAGTCTATCCACATCTTCATTACCCCATGAACCCCAATGAGATGTGATCCAATGTAAGGTAATGTCTTTGTGACTAAGTACTGCAGAGCCCTGTTAAGCTTCATCGTCAACGACGACACCAGCCGTTCATTCCTAATTATCCGAATATGCCGTAATAATTAAATACGACGCTAACATCTTGCCGTGTCGCGTGAAAAAATCGTCCTGAGTACTAAGCTTTAGCCCAGATAGTGCCGACATGACAAGTACCTTCGACAATGCTTCCCTTGGATTTCCAACTCTTCAGAAAGGCTTGACATGACATCCATAAAAATGAGATTCCTTGCAACATTACGGTCAAAAAGTAATACAGAGAGCCGACCGTCATCTGCTGAAATAGGATGAATTCAACCAGCCCCAAGAATACCTGAATCACTCGTTTTGTCAAATTCCATTGTATACAGCACAAGAAACTGTGGTTGGGGCAGCAAAGTAGAAAACTGAGCAGGATGGGTTGACACGGGCTGAAGTAGGTGAGGGCAACGACAACGCCAGAAATTAAGTGGCTTGTCAATTCCGCTGATAAATAAAGAAACCGGACGCCTAACTGGAGTTTGGAGGTTCTTGGGCCTAAACTTATGGAAAAGAATTCATTATAAAATGATCAAATTAGATTCCGCTAATGCTCCACACTCAAAATGATGTACATAGATGGAAACTAAATTTTTGGAGAGTTGTGAGTATGTATGTATAAACAGAGAATGCATGCATACTTACCATACTTTTCGACGGGTTGACGGATCAGATAGTTCACCAGGTGCACGGCCCCATGATCGACTGGGATGTCCAACCTGATAAGGAAACTCATCGCGTACGATGCCATAGCTATGGCAGCCTCGGCCTGCTCAAGCAGGTTTAACTCGTGGCTAAAAATGATGAATATCCGAGCCAATACTGCGAACGCATTAAGCAGTAAACTCCAGCGGACCACCCTTTGTGCCTTCGGGTCCCTCACGACTATCTGGTCTTGATTCGTGTCCCATTTTACGGGTAAACAACGATACATGGACCCACACGAGAGATTATGTTTAATTAAATTTACATCCTTAATATCCATGTTGTAGGAGTTTTTTGCTTTTATAAATTTTTATGTTTTCCAGATACTTTTTGCATCTTTCTTCAAAGTTCGAAATTCGGGTTGTCGATGAAAAAATTACAAATCTTTAGGTGACAGTATCACGAAATCCGTATTCCACTTTACGATTTTTGTGATTTAGACCCTCTACAGGCAGTGGAAAAATCAAAATGTAGATTGCGTCACATAAAATTAGCTCTTCAAATAGTTCAAATCTAAATAAAAGCAACTTTTCGTCAAGCCTCAGGTGTAGATTATGGTTATGCATCCGAAAATTTGTTAGAACGCAGGCTCAAATTGGAGAAAGAAGAGAGTGGCGAAAATATGGGATTGTGTGTAAATAGACAGTAAAATAATTATCGTCGCGGGCTGAGAAATGCTGCCTTTAATAATTTATTTTATCAGCACGCTGCCTAATGAAAATGTAATACATATTGACTATTGTATGATTGGCATGTACATATATATGTATGTAGCTTTGCCCGGACATTAATGTAATTAAAATGTGGATCTTTATTACTGACTTCCAATTCATATTCATTCGTACAGGTACAACAACAATTGTCGACCACTGGTAAATATGCCATACAATTAATTATACATACCTATGTGTGGCTAACTAATAAATTAAATAAATATAATTAGTTGCACGTTTTAAACGTTGCACGTTTTAAACAGAAAAATAAAATCCTAAGCCGAGTCAGAAATCCACATTGTAGCCAATACACAAAATTAGCCACGTTCATCCCCCTCCAGTTTATCCAGTTTATCCTCTTCCTCAATACGTATTACTTATACACGATTCATGATGATTCATGAGTCATTGATTAAATATTTATTTGTATGATCAAGTTGATTTCGTAAAGGATTTAAAATTTTCGCAAATTTACACAATCATTTTTCATAATCAGCATGCCTGCTAATTTCAATAATGTTCAATCTCCTTATGAAAACGAGGACACTACTGTTAGGACACGCCCAGTTTTGAGGAATCAATTAGTTACAAACAGGATTACCAGAAAGTGTAATATTGCACTTATCTTTATGAATCAAATTTAAACCGTATACATACTGAAGAATTCTGCCAACCCCAAAGTCGTCTTTAGAAAGGACATTATAACAAACTGCATTGAATGAATGAATCAATGAATGGTTTATTATACTGGCTTATTAGCACAAGAAATACAAAAATTTATGCTTAACAAACTACATTATTAAGTTGGTAAAGTAGCAAACTACTACAAGTATATTGTAAGATAATGAATTTATCTACGTTCCAACTTCCTGCCAATTTGTAAATAGTTATCTACGGATTCTGGCAATATGGATAAAGTGCAAATTTACATTTTAGAAATTCAGTATTTTTATTATTAATGTAGATTTACAACATTTAACACAGTGAAGAATATTATCGTTCATGTCGACATGTCGTACACTGCAAAAAATCTGGTGTAAAAACTAAGGATAAATTTACACCGAACTCTTGGTGAGAATGATTATCCCCAATCTGGTAGCATCTCACCCCAATGCTCACCACCCCGCGGGGATAGAATTACACCAAGCTGTGGTTGCACCGACTTACCAAGAAACGGTGTAAATAATTTCACTGGCGGTGTAAATTCATCACCGTTTTGGTGACAATAGACAACGTTTTTATTTTACTCCCCCGTGCTTCTCACACCGCCATCATTTCTACTGCCATCACCATCTAAACTATCAGCATGACGAAATTAGTGAGAATTTTTAATTCTGGGAGACGTTACAAATTAATTGTTTGTGAAACTACTGGTTATCACGATTTTATGAATATGGGTAAGTTGATTTGTCAATAAATGTTCTTTGAATTATGTAGTAATTCGTCGACTTTTTAGTGTTCCAATAAATTATTTATTTTTTAGTTAGGACAAAGTTCTTGCTGCCGGAGGAGGCAGAATTGTCCCTTCAAGACGAAGCAGGCGAGGTGGATGAAGAAGTCCTGCAAATTCTTCTCGAACAGGCCACCACCCTCAATCTTATCTTCTATGTGAAAGGAGAAGACACAGGAGCGACAACATTTGAAGTCGTGATCTTGTAAGTAATACAAAAGTCACACAGCTTTTACATCAATTTTTAGTTGTTTAATAATTCCCTTTTCCTAGATGTTAGCTCAACCTCGACTTCAATTTTCCATAGTGAACAGGACGGGAATTTATTCAAACAGGTGAGCGAGGAAGCATAAATTTATAGAGTATTTTTAAAATTAATTGATTTCTTGTTCTAGGTGCTGAACAATTTTCTGGAAGAAAATCAACAACTTTCTGCCGTCGTTTCCGATTGCAACAAAAATGGTTTCGTTGATTCCAGTTCTTCTTCCTACTTAATTAAGGAATTTGTTGAAAAACTTGTTCAGTATAAAGGGTTAATTTATAAAACAGGTTTTTCTCCATAAAACACTCAGTTAATATATTACTTAATTATCTATATAATTAATATTTTGTTTTAATTTCAGCGAGACTCCGCCTACAAAGGACTAGAAACTTCGTGCTTTAGCAATTGTGGAAATATTGCCGTGTCGGGGATTCTCGTCGAGTACTCAAGGAATCGTCAGAAATTTTGAAAATGTCAATTTTTTAGAATCAAAATAATCAGTTTGTATTCGTTGCAGGATTTACTCTACGATGACACTAATCGCTCCGGCCTGATTGAGGCAAGGCTTCGCTTGATTCACGGGAACTTGAAAGGAAAAAATAAGGAACTCTCGTTCAGGGGCACCGGCTGGGGCCACGGTCAACAAAAGTCTCGACCAGGATCGCCAAAGTTTCGAAGATTTGTTAACGAAATTAAACGGCCTATCCTCTAAGGAGGGGAGCTTGCGAGGTCGATAATAACAGATCTTGGTGCCCTTTGGATATGTGGTAGGGACCCATGAGTGTACTAAAACCCTGAAGTAGTTTGACTCCATGGCCACATTTGCGCCCGCCACACCCACTCAAAAATGCCCAAAAAACGCTTTCACCCCAGTTTTCACTCATTCAAATCCACGCCAAAAATCCAATTTTACTCGGATTTTGAAATTTCTTTCACCATTATACTCCCAGATAGTTGCTTTCTTCAATCCAATATCAAACTCAATTTTATTGATGATTATTTCGCAAACATAATTTGTTTTGTTGATGACTACAACAATGCTCATTCAGAATTTTAAATTTTAAAAATACTAAAAATTTCGAAAAAATTGAGTTTGATATTGGATTGAAGAAAGCAACTATCTGGGAGTATAATGGTGAAAGAAATTTCAAAATCCGAGTAAAATTGGATTTTTGGCGTGGATTTGAGTGAGTGAAAACTGGGGTGAGAGCGTTTTTTGGACATTTTTGAGTGGGTGTGGCGGGCGCAAATGTGGCCATGGAGTCAAACTACTTCAGGGTTTTAGTACACTCATGGGTCCCTACCACATATCCAAAGGGCACCAATATCTGTTATTATCAACCTCGCAAGCTCCCCTCCTAAGGCTGAGGTGCAGGAAATTCAAGACTGCAACGCTACCACATAGGAATCTACTTCGTTCTACCAACGAGCTGTCCATTCTAAAGCCCTACAATAAGTTTGGCGAATGTGATTTCTTGGTACTATTTAAAAATAATTTTACCGTTAAATATTGGATATTTTGACTAACCAACAAACTTAATTTTTCATTTAGGTAAACTTCTCTTCTCTTCTACATCCTGATTCAGAAACCAACTTCCTTGACACTTGGCCGTCTCTCTCCCAATGCATCATAGATAAGACGAAAAGTTTATGCAAACCCCCTTCACTCCTTAAATTTATCAATAAAGAGTCTGGTAAACTTGAGTTATTATGGGGATTTGAAAGCTGCGAAGATTTTGATGATGAGACCTCAATTTTTACAACAAACCAAGTTTGGTTTCGGGGTTATGATTAAAGATGCAATTTTGTTGTATATTATGAAATAGGACCAATTTTTCCCCAGTTCGGTTTAATTTCCGAGTTAATTGTACTAAAAGATAATTCTTCTTTAATTCTAATTAATCCTCCGAAAGTACAATATTTTTGTCTCGAAATGTTTGCTTATAAAATTGCCCCGGTACAAGAAACGTTTAAATTAATTAATATAAGTAGTTTAGTAATTCATGACGCCGTGGAAATATAAACTAATTGTAAATTGGGCGGTATGTATATTATTTTAAGACATCATTTTCAATTAATTTGTATGCCAATAATAACAAGTTGTATTTAGATTTATGAAAATGTTCATATAATAAACAAATATATGAAGTGAAATATATAATTTAATGTGGTTTTATTTCAATAACACTAAATTTGCACAGAAAATGTCACCGGTTAGTGAAAAATCAACACCACGCAATATCACCCAACTCGTAGCAATACAGGTGTGGAACGGTGCTGAATTGTCACCGTTTTGGTGTCAAAACTTTTTTACACCAACCGTGTTGATTTTACACCAAAGCGGTGTAGCCACATATAGACACCGCGCGGTGTAGCCACATATAGACACCGCGCGGTGTAAATCTGGTGACGATATTTTTTGCAGTGTACATATTAATGCAGTACATAAGCAAGATTTGTAGGTCTTCAAGCTGTCATTTACAAATAGCCACACACCAGTAAGGAAACTACTCATTGTCGAAATATTTTATTCTCGTCATATCAAGCATTCTACACACTACTTGCCGTCAATCAATCATTAAATGTAAGGACGACTTGCTATAAGTACTTGTTTCCAAACCACCCGTGCGGGTTGTATGCACATATATGTACATAAACGGTCAGATAAATTATCGGTACATTTGCAAACCTATGAAATAACACTCACAGTGACGTAAAGAGCATTGAAACTGTCAAATACAATTTCCGGTCCTTAAGTTTCTCAATAAATGTAAACTTTTAAAAAATTCTCGAGTTACATATTACGAACTAACAAGATTATATATCACATTAACACACCAAACATTCCACCAAATCGGTTCATTTTTAATGTCACGCATTTACATATTCTTTAATCTTAAAATAATTATGCAGTTTTCCACAAATCTTTATTTATTTCTGTTGCTCTTCGTTCAAACATTTTGTAATTGCTCATTTCCAGAAGGGACGCACTTAACATTAACATACCTAATTTGCCAGTACGACACATTTATTAATGTAATCGTGAAGGACGGGAATCAATTCTTGCATGCAATTGATAATATGTGCATTACACAACGAATCTTGGTCACCATGGAGAAACGGGTAGTTTCTAAGTACCAAAGAAAATATATATTTCCCATTGTATACTTTATATTCCCAGAAAACCTTCCCATTGTTAACGATTACTACGGAAAACTTTTAAAAAACCTTAATGCAGTTATGATTAAAGCCTGGTTATCTTATGTCGGTCTCGTGCATCTTGTAACCTTTGACCATTACGATCAGGATAATAAACCTTCAGTAATGTCGCATTCTGCTCGTCTTGAGTCCCACACTTTATTCATAGTGGCAAAATCTCAAATTACGGATCACTCACTACTGGAACAAATCACGTCCGGATTTAGTGAACAAACCATGGCTGCATTTTTGGTTAAAATTGACATCTTAAAGGTTGAAAAGGTCCTCTATATTTGTGATTTTTGTGCTCCAACATTCTTCATTGGGGTTCTTCTTAATCCGCAAAGAATCCATGTTCCTAACTTCGTGGAAATTATGCAACTAGAACTTTCCCAGCATACAATTTCCATCGGTTTGGCTGATAACATAGTGTTTACTGGAATTTCAACTCATTCAATTTATAATATCGTTGAAAGACATTCCCAATATCAGGGACCTAACATGATGTGCAAAAAATGTGTCCATGCTGCCATTCTGCTCTTGTTACGGGACAATTTAAACACTACGTTCCTGCAAAGCACCTTACCTTCCCGAAACGTGACATTAATTGAGTTCCCATCTCTAATCAATGGAAATTGAATGTTACTACTCCTTTGGAGGGAGCGAGCTACAAGATACACAGTGTTCCACCCGGAACACTTGATTGTTTCCAATACTGACTCGTACAGTTTCATAACTTGCAATGGAGTCATGATTAAGGGAGCGTCAATCCTGTTTGCTTCTTACACTGGAGATGCCTTAATTGCGACACTTACTTTTGCAGCACTTTGTCTGCTAATCCTAACGTGGGTCGAGTCACAGGTCACAACACCATCCTCAATCGGGTCAACCGTTTGGACGAAATTGTACCAAATGGTTACTTATATTTTAGAAAATGGCGACCTACAAATACAGAAAACTAGTGGAACATACAAATTTTGGCCTCGTTCTATGATTAATGTTACGTTAGCATGCCTAGCCGTATTTTTCTTCTTTGCTAACAATTTCTATAAAAGCTTTCTCTCAGCGGACGAGGTTCTTCGGCCCGACTATGTTTCAACTGTGCAGAATTGGCGGGATCTGGTTGGATTTCGGATAGTAACGCCAATTGATGCCGACAGAGCAAAGTTGTACGGCATTGGCCCCAACCGGTCCACGGGCAACATGCGCCTAACGAATTTTGGCTTCGACGTATACCAGTTTTATGCGTCACTCGGAAACCCAAGCGACTACAAAAATCCGCATGTGTTCAAAATGGCCAACGTTCCCCCGGGGAATGATAATCTAGATAATTTAGGTTTCTTTTCACACAGGAACGATGCGTTCTTCGAGTTTATTGAATCCTGTGATAAGACGGCCTTTATATCATTGAATGATGCCAGTGACGAGTATTTGAACTATTTTAATGATAAAACGGATAAAAATAAGTGGTTTGTGAAAGGAATTGATAGAATATTAAGTATCCCAAGCATTTACAGGTTCGAACGTTATAATGCGGGTAGTCGAAGCCATCAAAGGGTAAAGATGAAGCTGGCATTTTTGGTGGAGTCTGGCATTGCCGAATATTTTAGTGTGTTATTTTCAAAAGGGAGTACTCATATCATGAAATCAACTTCTGCTCTAAGCCTATTGTTTTATCAAAGACTGAAGTTAACGAGTCAAATTGTGGAATTGTTTAGTGTTTGTGGTGTATTGCTGACGGTGGCTTTACTAGTGTGGGGATTGGAAATAATTTTACCTGTGGTAGCAAAGCAAATTTACAGGCTAAATTATCTGTATTATCTTAAGATATAAAACTTACATTTAGAACTTACCTATACGTCTCATCGTTCAAGATCCAATTGCTGGAAGTGTTTATGTAATCTATTATTTTGGTGTGGATTCTTCAATCCTAATTTTTAATTTAATTTTAATTCCAACATATTGAGTACTACAAGGGTTAACTAATTTGCTTTCAAATTACTTATTTATTGACCAATGAAATCTACTCATACCCCAATCTTAAGCATATGTACGTATATAGGTCCCTACACATATATTAAACTAACAAAAATTGTTAAGTATTCAATTTCTGATTCTGCACAATTGCTCCTTTTTGGGCCCGAAGAGGCTGCGAATAAGGAATAAGCAAGCCATATTTATTCCAGGTTCAAACCAGGTTTGGCTTTAAACAAATTCATTAATTTTTAGCCACTCACGTTTTGCATGCATGTTTATGCATGACTCGTGCGCACATTTATCTATTTGTATGGATTGTTATCGGTTTGTTCTGATGAATCCGTATGTACCTCCCAATGGGTATGTTTCCCTGCTGATTTGAGTATACAAAGTTGTGTGTCAACTGGAGCGACGGTGGCGCACATACCCATCTGTGTATTATTTAGTTGCTAGGTGAGAAGTGGTGGCGCTCGGGTGCAACACCTACCAGTGTATTATTAGTTGGTGAATGTGCATAGACGGCGCTCATAGTGTGGCTACTATCGCTCGTCCAGTACTCCTTCTAGATAGAATAGTATAGTTCTGTGGTACCTCCAAACGAAGCCGATAAATAATACACAGAGAGCACAGTCATTCTCTACATTTGTAAAAATCATTTTACCCTTCAGAAAAGGCAATGGCCTATAATACTGTACATTTGAATTATTACGTTCGAAATTTTATGATCAATGAATTCTTGAGCATGACAATACAAACCTTGTTTTGGTGTTTTTTATTATTTAAAATAAATCTATTCAAGCATCAATGCCAAGCAACATTATACATTACATCAGTAATGATAAACATAGCCTGTAACACAAAAATAATCCGTTAAAACTTTTCATGCCTTAGGGGACGTACATAAATAATGGAATATATTTTCGGAGACTTTTTACCCCTAGCCCTCCCCCATCGTGTCCCATGTTATAATTAACACGGTAAGGATAGGATACCTTGAATACCCTTACCATCACTTAAATCGTTAACATGCTTTTTATGGTCCCAGTAGATCAAAAATATTCAAGGATGTATGGACTGGGTGGTTTAAATGTCAGGCTACACTGGAAACTTTTACAAATGGAATACCCTAAATCTCCATCAGTTGCAAGATTTAGGTATTAAGAACAATGGAACACTGATGACAAAATTCTTAAAATGTTGAACTTCAGAAACAAAATTTCAGTAACTTACGGAAATTTACGATTTTTTCGCATTGAAAAATTTGCAATTGTAGCGTGACATTCAAATCACCCATAAGTACCGAAATACATGCGTTTCGGTACATAAATTATGCATAATTTATCCTGCTAGGAGACACCCAGAAACTATGTACATATGTCATGGAAAAATCGCGGTTTTCAGATCCCACCCATTAACATATTTTACATATGTAGGCACCAAATCACGTGACACAATTTATGGGTGGTCCCCCATCTGCATAAATGTGTCCACCTGCTCTCCAAATTTTGAAACCCATTCGCTTTTCAAACCAGTACAGGCATTCATAATTTGAAATACATCTTTAAAATATTTTTCCATCAAGGTCCTCATTTTACTCGGCGAAATTGCCCCGACAAAAATCTGCTCAACGTTTAACTGCGCTATTTTCATCGTTTGTAAATTTCTACAGCTTCCCGCCAGCTTGAAAAACTCTTTAAACGTTTCCTTTTGCCAAAACAGATCTTCATCGTCCACATACATCGCTTCCCACTCGGGATTTAAATACAATTCCCTCAGCTCGGGCAGTATATAGTCTCCCGGTAAAATTTCGACTTTTGTCCATTCACAAAACGCTACAGAAAGCAGTCTTAACCTGGGCAAACTCTGTGGCAACTTAAATACCTCATAGCTTATCTGCGGTAATGGTAAGGTTAACTCGGTCAAGGTTTCTGCATGTTTTTCCACCAATAAGGTCAAATATTCCCCGCTGTTCAATCCATCCGATCGGAGTGTACCTTTCGTATGAGGCTTCTCCCAGCGGGAATCTACCCGATAAATGGTTAACACTTGTAACTGCCCGTTAAACTCGAGCAGTCCATCCAAGTTGGGGTGTAACCTCCGAATTCCGAGCTCAAGATGGGTCAAGTTTGGAAACGAGGGGGGCCTTAAGTCCCAAAGTGGAATTAGAGCTTCCCCCCGTACCAATTTTAATACTTCAACAGATGGCCACGCTGCCTTCAAGAAGCCATCAAACCAGGCGGGACAATCGGAATAAAGATGCCCCCATTCCGGATAGGGTCCAAAATCTACCCGTAATTCGGTCAACGAGCTAAACCCACTAACCGCCACGCTGGGCCAGGGTACCGTCCAGTTTCGACAAACTAATGGGTTAAATACCAGCTCAATGGTGTCCAAAGTGTGGCAAAGTTTTCGAAATAGGTTAAAAATCAAAAATTCCCGAAGTAGGAAATCATTCACGATTATTTTAACCGATTTAACCCCAGCGGAATAATCTTGCCTCCGGAAGTGAAGGATTTCTCGCTTGAAACGGGTTTCTCGATACTTTACCATCAAGTAGGAAGAATAATTTTCTAAAATCCCGCAGGAGGGTACGTCAAACACCCAGTTGTTAAGAATGAGTGGGCTTTTGTGCGAGTGGAGTCTATAGTTTTTTAGAAACTTGGCAGGATTTCGGGAGAAGTCTTCCCCAGTAAAATAGGCACTGGAAAATCCTTCCTTAATCAAAATGGATAAAACTTCGTCATTCCAAAGGTTGCAGACGAGTCGGCACTTGAATAGTTCGGATGGGCAGGTTTTCCACAAGTGGTTAAATATTAGGGTCAAAACCTAGGTAAATACATACATAGATAAGATTTCTTCATACAGGGTGGTAAAAATGTCTCGCTAATACTCCTGAACCATAACCTCCATCAAAATTTTGAACACATTTACCCCGGTTTCTTTACTTGTCGCCGCCCACTCAACCTATTTCCCCGCTAGCATGTTCACCTCACTTTAACCACGTTTGTTGAAGTTGTAGGTACGCGAACGTGCCCAAGGTTTGCCAAGGAGAATTTTTGCAGGGGAAGATGAGAATGCGGGCTGAAATGTGTTCAAAGTTTTGATGGAGGTTATGGTTCAGGAGTATTACAATGGAAAATTTTGCAATCGAAAAAGTCCTGACATCTCCATTAGTTACGAGGAGTTGGGATTAAGATTTTCATTAATTGTTATCAAAACTAATGGAACATTGGTGACACAGATCTTCAAATGTTGAATTTCAGAGACAAAATTAGGAAATTTACGAATTTTTCTTATTGGATAATTTTCCATTGTGGCGTGACATTTGAACCACCCTGTACATATGTGAAGGACCCCCGGTCACTTGCATAATTTCTTCTGGGTACATGGATAACTTCCATTTTAAATAATGGCCATTTTACATGTTGAGTACACTCTAAATAATTTAGAGACTAATCATCACCCGAGGAGCAGAGTAAGGAAAACCCTTGGGTATGAAGGTGGTCAGGATTTTCGATGTAGTCAGAGTTTGAGTAGGTTATTTAGGTTCTGAATTTGCGAAATTTGACGTTAGTACGCTCAATATTAAAGCACTGATTTTTATAAAAAAACGACAGCACATTTGCTTGACTAATTTCCCGTCGGTGACAAAACATGTCGTTAATCACTACCAAAAATGCAGTACTATTCATAGTACCCTCGTGGGTTACTATTTATCCCCAAATTATTTAGAGTGTACTGTACAAATACATAAATAACTTTCCAATTCGTAATCAATATGCTCCTTGACGAATTTAATATTAAACCTACCAAGCTTGGCAAATGTGGAATCATGTCGGTTTGTCCTCCTCTCACCCTGTTAAGGCAACGAGTTACAAATTTCCAGTGGAAAAGTTCACTTAAATTGGCACACTTGAAAGGATTCCTTCTTCGTGACGAAATGGAATCCGGCTCCAGATTCATGATAGACTCAACCTTATCTGTTAAATTTGACACATTTAAATATCTACGTAAATGTAAGTAAGACAAAGTCTATGTATGTATTTTCAGGATACTTGTTTTTGTACACGTGTCCGAGGAGAAAGTCGCCAGCTGTGAGACAAGGCTTTCATGTGTGAAGGTTAAATACTAACCTCGGGAGATTCCGAATTCTCCGGAGTGAGTACACATAAAAAGAGAGAACACTTTAGCAATGAAAAGCGTCGTTTAACACCAAACGGATGACTCTCTTCCTTATAGATAAAATTATTTCTTTTGGCCCAAGTTAATACTATAATGGAAACAGCTTCTTTGTCCTCGACTGTTTAGAAATACTAGGCAGCAATTGTACACATCGGTGCATCATACATAAATATGTACGTCCAAAGAGAAGTTTGAGAGTCTCCATTTTCACGTTTTCACCCACTTTTCATGCAAAATTCTGAAATTAAGACTTTTGCATTAAAGATGATGCATGATTTTTGTTGTACATATGCATGTACTGTGCTATAAACATCGTTAATGAGGAGAAGTGGACAACCTTCTATGTATGGAGATTACAACAAGGAAAGGGTGCACAAAAGAGAAAGGGTTGGTGGTGGTGGTCAGTCGGATGAAATAAATACTTGCATATTTTACTTCAGTTAGATTTCGATTGAGGGAACATCTGTAGTAAATATTTAGAAATTAACGCAACCATCAAAAAATTATCAATTAGAAGTTGTATGTATATTCGCAAGAAATTTGAACTTTATTTCACTGCCACGTGATTGATTATGCTAAACGAGGAGAGATTAGAAGTAAGTTATTAAAAATCTAAATTTTGAAGTGTTTATTGTTTTTATTAATTTAATAACCAAGTAAGATTTACATACGCATATAAATATGTATCTTGTTGGACTATTGATTTTATCAGGAAGATGTTTCAATGCGGGGTACCTCGCCCTTAGAAAATGCAGACGATTCCTACCCTGGGCCTTTATTACATCATGAGGTAAAACTAATAACACACATTTGTTTGCCAGTATTTCTGTTAGAGGGTGTGCCAGCCTGGTCCCTCACAATCAGTGAGAGATATGGCTCGGATGTGGCGCATCCCTCCAAACCATGGAAAGTCAGCGATTGGCTGTTGGACTTTTTGGCTGCACACTTAAAAATGTAATGGGACATACTATGATATCGAACGGATCGAGATAATGGAGATTGGTTTGCGGCATCATACATACGACCCCAGGGGGAGGATCCAATCAACTTTTGGGGTCAGTCGGACCACCCTACCATGGGGTGTGGTCGGGAAAAAAAGTAAATTTTTACTAAATCGAATCTATAGATCACTTCATCCCAACGCCAGCTGAGGAATACTTAATTTCATTGTATTGCATGTACAGATTCAATTTCAGTAAAATCTCATATTGCCCCTGACAATACCCCCAGGATGGAGGTGGTGTGCCACACCGACGGAATACTTAATATCACCGTATTTCATCTATAGATTCGATTTAGTAAAAATTTACTTTTTTCCCGACCACACCCCATGGTAGGGTGGTCCGACTGACCCCAAAAGTTGATTGGATCCTCCCCCTGGGGTCGTATGTATGATGCCGCAAACCAATCTCCATTATCTCGATCCGTTCGATATCATAGTATGTACCATTACATTTTTAAGTGTGCAGCCAAAAAGTCCAACAGCCAATCGCTGACTTTCCATGGTTTGGAGGGATGCGCCACATCCGAGCCATATCTCTCACTGCTCACAATTGTTTTTTTGCAAGATGTGCATATTCTCCACGTCTGCTTATGTAAAAGAAATAACGTTTCAAGAGGGTGGGTGCTAAAATAGAGAATTTTTCATCATGTAATAGATGGATGGCCCCTTTACATGTTGCAAAAAAATCTAGGAGGACGAAGCTTATTTGCACACCCATTAAGATTAATAATCTCGCCATGATTAAACAGATTGTCGGCCACCTCTGCAGCTTCCTGACAAGCAATGACATCAAACAATGTCGACTCGTCTCGCACGTTTGGAATTATGGGTCCACCCCCAAACTAAAAGCAAAGACAAGAACAAGAATCTCCTTATGTCGAAATGATACTGCTATTTTCGATGTTATCGACAAACTGAAATTCTCCGCGGTCAACGTCCTTTTACAAGTCATAGCTGTACCTGCACTCAATTTGCCCCCCATCGACCTCGAAATATTCCCCATGATGAGAAATGCAGGGTTCGGAAGAACCCAGGGTTTTAATCAAAAATGATAAAACCCATGGGTTTTAATGGGTTTTACCATGTTAATTGGGTTTTATTTGGGTTTTAATGGGTTTTATTGGGTTTTATTGGGTTTAACTGGGTTTTATTGGGTTTTAATAGTTTTAAGTAATAATCTAATAAAGATTATTCGGAATTTGTATCTATTCGGAAATTATTTTTGTTTTACAACACTTGAAATCTGTGATGCTAAAGAATGGAGTCAATTGTTGCTTTGTTCCGAATTTTCATATATTATGATAGTAATGAAATAAACTGCTTTAGAATGAATTGAGATAACGTCTTCTAACGTATAGGAGATGTATTTAACTTTTAGAATATAGTTTTAAGGTAAAACTCGATTAAAACCCATTAAAACCCAAATAAAACCCACTTAACATGGTAAAACCCAGTGGGTTTTATTCATTTACAACCCATTAAAACCCATTAAAACCCAATAAAACCCAACCCATTAAAACCCAGGTCGGAATACCCTGGAGAAATGTTAAATTCGTGAATGTCGCATACGAGCCCGGAGATGAATTGAAATTTCCGGGAAACTTGGGCAACAAGATTATCCTGGCAGCTTCCCCCACCCTGAAAGAACTCGAGTTCGACGGACATAGTTTTTCTAGCCTGGCGGGGACCGTATTCCCAAAATTGGAGAAAGTTACGACATACTGTACCCTTTATAAAGTGTACGACCGCGAAAGATTTGGACAAGGTGTGACAGATTCGTTTACAAATTTGAAATATCTCAATACCGCGAGCGATCATTTGATAAGCATGCCAATGATGGGAAAGCTAGAGAAGCTGCCAGTGTAAGTTTCATGTTACTTTTCGGAGAGTTTACATTATTTTTAAGAGTGTAGTACATGAAATTAAGTGAAGTTATTAAAGGGTGAAGCTAAATCCCTTTATGGAAATACCTTGTCTGTCTGTCTGTCAGTCCGTCTGTCTGTATCAACCATGACTTTAGGTCGGATTCGAATTTCGACATGCGGTATTCGCCAACGTATTTCTGATTTTTGTAGCACGGATGAATTCCAAGATGGCGCTGTAGGTCATAAGGTCATGGCGCCGCGGGGATGAGACCAAGGGTCAATCGTGTCCAATTTTTTGTATTGATCGTTTTAGACGTAGTTTTGAGCCCGAATTTCAAAAATCGACACGACGCTTCACCACCTTATGCTACATCCAGTTTGCTTTGCACTCAAAATAAGGTAGTAATGAATCATTACCATGCGGAATGACTATGTGGCTCTACCACGTCGGTTACGATTTGTAGTAGAAATGGTAATAATAAGTTCAGGGAAATTCAAATTTAATACGTAATGGTATTTACTTCCTTAATATTTGGTAATGAATTTGAATTTCCCTGAACTTATTATTACCATTCCTACTACAAATCGTAACCGACGTGGTAGAGCCACATAGTCATTCCGCATGGTAATGATTCATTACTACCTTATTTTGAGTGTGGTTTATTGTAAATATGTATTTATTTCATTACAGATCACTCAATAGGTTGGTACTGCATGGAATTTCTGACACGACGGGAGGGTTGGAATGCCTCCTAGAAATTCCTGGCAGCTTAAGAGAACTCAACTTTTCCGTCGATTTCCAAATTGACGATCGGGTGGACGACATGCCCACAATTTTCTACACTTTTTTGAAAAAAATTCCCCCACTTTGGAAATACTTTCCATCTGCATGTTCTGGTTGGAGGGAGCGGCACAACTGGAATGGAAACTTCCCACATTTCCGAAATTGAAAAAATTTAAAATAGTTGGGAACATGGTGACCGGGCTGCTCGAGTTTGGAACTATGCCTGGATATTTTGGACCGATCGATTACGCCGAGTGTTTCCCAGTTGTGGAAATTTTGGAAATTTGGTCCTGTTCGGATGCATTTATTCCGTCGCAAAATCATATTCAGGTTGTCGAATCCGTGAAAAGGATAGATTTAGGGGTGGTTAGGAGGTGGAATAATGTAGTAGACTTTGCTAAGCTGTATACGCGAATGTTTGATATATTTCCGAACGCGAAAGAATCAGTTATAAAACTTCTAAAAGATTTGTTTTTCCTATAAAATTTTATGCTTGACGGAATAATACGATGAGAAGGAATTGAGAGTAATAAACAAAAAAATAAACAAATGCAGATTTAATTTTTATGAACTACGCATGTATTGGATCAAATTTTATTATCCAAATTGAAATTTGACGCTATATTTAGCCTCCGAATTAAAAATTTTAAAATCGATTTTCTAAACATATTGAAAATTATGCCAAATCACTTCACAACTTCAATAAACGAGTCTCCTTTAGTAAATCGGTTAACAAGGTCAAAACCCCATTCGGGCTGGTCCCCGTTGCATCCATGACCTAGGGAAATAATCAAATTTGAATTTTTTTCAATTCCCGCCACCCTCATATTCATAGTTTCACCTACCAGCATTCCTCATAACAATGTAGTTCGCGTTCCGCGCCGAATTCAAATAACCCGCCACTTTTCCATCCACCCGCCAAATTCCTCTCGTGCTATTGTTCAATTCGTCGGCTCCATCCCAGTTCAAATTCTTGACCATATCCGCAACCCCGGGAAGTCCGGCGTCCAAATTACCGACGTACATGATCGCTTTGTATCCCGCATTTAGCACGGATTCTAAATGCGATTTAACCGATGCCATGAAATTGTTGTGCATGTCGCTCTGAACACGTGGCGAGACGAACGAGAAGGATATATTTCCCACGTGCAAAGATCTTCGGCAGGGCTCCGAATTTACCAAGTCGGTAAAATTTGGGTAGTTGATCGTGTCCTTGATGATGTTGTACATTGGATAGAATCCCGCAGCGGCAGGAATCGAGCCAACTAATTGTTGCCAGGTCTGAATAAAAAAGTGGCAAGAAATTTATGTAATTAAAACGCTAAACATTTTTTAAGCTTTGACTGCTAAAAGCAGAAGAGAAGATGGAAAATCGAGGTATACACTCTTAAAAATTGATTTACCATTTTCTAAAGTTTAAATGCACCCTGACTTCAATAACTAACAAGGGAACATACCGAGGTGTCCAACGAGTTAAAGGTCGACACCTATACCAAAATGACCACAATACATGGTTTATTAAACAAACTGAGGGAATTTCCGTGTAAAATTCACTTTTCGTCAAGTTGTGACGATATTTGTAACGAGCGCACGACCATCGGGTTGCCAGCGGGAGAGGTCGGCCGCAAATGATCAGGTCGACCACAGAGAAGCGTCGTCGTCTTCACGTCTTCTTCAGAGATTTCAAATTCTTTCAAATTTTGAAAATATCTTGAAATTTTGGAATTTTGAGAAAATATTAAAATTTTGAGAAAATGATGAAATGTTGAGCAAAATTTTGAAAATTTTGAAAATTTGAGAAAATTTTGAAATTTTGAAGAAAATTTTGAAATTTTGAAGAAAGTTTTGAAATTTTGAAGAAATTTTTGAAATTTTGAAGAAATTTTTGAAATTTTGAAGAAATTTTTGAAATTTTGAAGAAATTTCAATTTTTTTTTCAAAATTTCAAGTGGTTTTCAAAATTTGATAGAATTTGAAATCTCTGAAGAAGACGTGAAGACGACGACGCTTCTCTGTGGTCGACCTGATCATTAGCGGCCGACCTCTCCCTCTCTGGCTACCCGATGGTTATGCGCTCGTCAAAAATATCGTCACAACTTGACGAAAAGTGAATTTTACACGGAAATTCCCTCAGTTTGTTTAATAAACCATGTATTGTGGTCATTTTGGTATAGGTGTCGACCTTTAACTCGTTGGACACCTCGGTATGTTTCCCTGTAAGTAAACTATCCTAAACCCACCTTGATGCTCCCAACAGATCAAAATTGGAAAGTTTACTCTGGATTTTTATAATCTGCCCAACACAAAATAGATAAGACTTAATTTTAAAAAGCATGTCATTATTTTTAGAGTGTGGCATTTTCTGAAAATTTAAAATGTAGACTAGGTTCACATAAACCGGTACATGGTGTGTGCAGAGTTGTCGGGAAACCAAAATTCGCTCTTGCACATGTCCAATAGAATCAAAAATTAGTGTATACGTGTAACAGCGTTTTTTCTCAATGTGCCCCAAAGTTTTCATATTGCCCCAAATACTGGAACACCACATTTCAACGTTACTAGTGGGTTAATTCTCTCCAAACTTGGCATGCTATCCTCATTTCGTATTCGTCACATCGCCCCAGAGAATTGGCAGCCTAGGTTAAAATTTGTAATGCCATCTACCTGAAAATTTTGACAATTTTTTTAATTTTTTTGAAATATTTTCGAAATTTATGAAATGGTATCTTTCTAGCTTCATATCTCTACAGAAACACTATATTCTGCTTCGAATGCCGTTTCATTGAACCTCATAGGTCAAATATTAAGGGTACTATGTAGGAAGATCGATTTTGGCAGAGGTTCCCGCTAAGTACCAATAATTCTAATTTTCTCCAGTAGTGTCGATGCGGTTTACCCCAACTTTTGATATGTTTTACATATTTAGTAGTGCAACAATTGTCAACCGCACTAACCGTCGAAATCGACCTGTATGACCTTGCTCTAAGGGTCGGGGGTAAAAGTTTGGAGGTCAAGTCTCACCTAACCCCTTAAGTGTGACATCGTTGAAAAGGTCTCGGTTAGAGGATTCAGAATATATATACTTTGTGGGGTCTATGACCACTCCGTGGATGTCTAGAGGCGGTTCAATGAGAATTTCTGATTTTCCAGAATTTAACACAGCACTAGATAGGAAGCTAACATGGCAAACAGATGGGCACAAACTCAAAAATAATCTTCCACTTCTGGAACACTAAGGAGTGACCATAGACCCCACAAACTATATATATTCTGAATCCTCTAACCGAGACCTTTTCAACGATGTCGCACTTAAGGGGTTATGTGAGATTTGACCTCCGAACTTTTACCCCCGACCCTTAGAGTAAGGTCATACAGGTCGATTTCGACGGTTAGTGCGATTGACAATTGTTGCACTACTATATATGTAAAACATATCAAAAGTTGGGGTA